GGGCGGGTCAGGAGAGGTCTGCCACGCCATGTGGTCACCTCCGGGGCAGGCGGGAATCGAACTCATGCGGAAGTGGCTTTAGCGTCTCAGTGCAGTGCTTTAACCCGCTGCGCCACCAGCGAGGGCCCAGATGTATTTTTTAATGACCAAGTATCTCAAATGGCTAGGGACATTTAAGGAATAAAATTTGTAATAATGAGCATTTGTTCATTATTTTACTTACTATCAATAGACAATGGATGAAGATGGTAGGAAATAAACCAAATAATAGATATAAAACCCCCATTAGCTTCTTTTTAAGTCAAATGATATTTGAACACACACTACTTTTTACAAGCTTGAAAATCACTATAATGATAATTGTTTTGATGTAACATTGCATGTATTAAGTCGAAGAAACTCCTGTGAATTTGTTTATACAAATGTGCTTCACAATTTCTAGCTATTAAATCTGAATGAGTATCATACATGCATACTCAGACATGTGTGCATGCTATTATAAATGATTAACAAGTTAATTATTTGTAATGAATGAGATGAAAGAAGTCATGCTTGAGAGTTTCCTCTCCATTATCAAATCTTGATTTTCCATCTAAAAAATATAAAATGACCATTTTTTCAATTTTTCATGACTTCTCTTGTCCAAATAACCACAGTCATAATCCTGAGCCACTATAACTTCTTTCTCTCTTCTCCAATGACAATCTTGCCCCTTCTTACATATGACAGCTGAATGTTGATAATCCTATATACAGATCTTCCAGGCCTATCATATCCTGGTGGACTGCCTCTCTGTCTTCATCCTCTACTCATCCGCACCCCAGAATCATAACTTCATCCAGACCTTCCATTTTATAAATATCCATGGCACTTTCCCATATCTCTGCATGAGTTTCCTCTACATCCAATACTATTTGTTTCCTTTGCATTCAGTGCTATTTCAGTCCTTCTTCACCAAACTCCTGCTCATTTTTTGGATCTCAATTTCACTTAATCACCCCTGACCACCCACCCCATCCTAGTCTCCTCCCTACCTACCATCACTGCCATCCCCAAATAATGTATGTCTTATTATTCCCTTTCAAGGTACCCTATTCTTTTCCTGTGTTGTATCTAATAAAATTTAATTTATGTCTTTTTGTGTTTCTTTGTTAACCCGTATCCTCCACAGGACTATAAAACCCATGAGAAACTAAACATAAATTTTATAGGTTCATCAACTAATCCATAGTACCTTCCACTGTACTTGGCATCTAGTAGCAACAAGTAATATTTGTTGAATGAATCAATAGCCCAACTGTAATTTTAAAAATCTAGTCAAGCCCAAGTATGTATGTAGAAATGAGTAAAAATTATTGGTATTTGGAATTTGAAAACCAATATAGTCACTCACCTTCTTCACTGAACAAAACTTTTTCATCATTCCAGTGAAAAAAAAAATCACAGGCCTTTCAGGAAATTACCAATGTCATCTCCCCCTCGTGGGTGCTCACTATAGCATAACTGATAAACATGATTCCAGGTTTTAAAAGGCAAAAGAAATAATCTTCCATAAAGATTAAGGACAAATGTGATTGATGATTGAAAATCAGTGAATTCTTACTTCAGTTCTCCTCCATGAATATAATATGCACATAGGCCAGTTAATTTTATTTTTCATGGTTCTTCCTTCTGAATCCTGACTCTGCTAACTTACTTGTTCAACCTTCAATAAACCACTTTATTTTATTGACTTTCTAGTACTCTTACTGCCTACCTCTTTGTATAGCTACGGTTCTGGAAACTCCAGGGAATTTGGATGCTTGAAATAATAAAAACTTGGATGACCCCATCAACACTCTTTGCTCAGTTTGACCAGTGACAAAGTGTCACAGTCCTCATGTCTTTTCATCCATTGCCTACGTGCCCAAAGTCATAGAACATTACTTGTTTTCAATCACCAGAGCATAGTTGAACCACATGAGTCATGCTAGACTTGGCCCCCACAAACACACCCTCCTAGCAGACAAGTAGCTGTTTTAAGGCCTTCATGGTTTCTGACTCAGCTCTCTTCATTTGTTCAGTTCAAAAGGATGAATCATAAAAAGCTACCTTATATCTGCCTTTATCTAATCTTACTTCTTAACCTTTAACTTTCTTTTTGTAAAATGTACTCATCTTTCAAATGAAAAGAATAATTCTTCCCTTGCAAAGTAGATTTTAATAAAACAGTTAATAATTCATCTAAGCGACATGCTTAGCACATAATCAGTGCTCAGAAGTATAACTGCTATTATGTATTATATTATAACTGCTATTATGTATTATATAGCGACAAGTTGTGTGTCAAGTCCCTGAATAAGTTGGATCCTGAAAAATGAGCAACAATTTCAACAATTTCTCACATTCTTACCTAAATCCTTTTTTTTTTTTTTTTTTAAATTCTTGTCCTTGGAACAAACTTTGCAAAATAAGTTAGCTGAGTAGCCTGTGGACAAATCTCTGAACAAAGCTAAGGACTTCCTTAGGAATACAAAACTCCTTAGTTCATCAGGACTGGACTCTACTTCTTTATTGTAATTATCATGATTTAAATCCAGGATCATCTTGTAAATGAAGTGACACTTTTTATGATTTGGATGTTCTTGGTTGAAATATTGTGAATGCTAAAAAGATAGTATGGTAATTTTAACATTGCCTTTTCTCATTGGCAATAAAGACCACACTGACATTTGGACAATTTTAACTTGGTAATTTTTGAAAAGCTACTGTTCAAGTCATTAAAATAAAAATCGATGCTTAGCTTCTTGATTGCATTAGCAGATTAATTCAGAGGAAACTGTGGTAATATAGAAAAGGCTATTAAGTTTATGTTAATAAATAATTCACTCTTGAAGCAACCAATTATCATCATGATTGGTTGGTATTATTGGACAGTCACTGAGATTTATAGCAATACAATAATGCTTCCCTATGGGTTTTAACCAATTAACATAATTCCATTTCAAACTGCCATAGTACTAAAAGCAAGATAGTGCTTATATTATTATCTCTTTTTCATATGCCTATTGGCCATTTGTGTTTCTTCTTTGGAGAAGTCTCTTTTCAGCTCTTCTGCCCCCCCCCTTTTTTTTTTTTTTAAGAATTGAGACTTTGAGTATTTGAATTTTTTTTTAAAGATTTATTTATGCATAGAAGAATTATAGTGTAGGCCTGAGGTACAGGAGTTGGAAGGTGAGAGGACTCACCAGAGAGAGAGTAGGGAGCAGAACAGGCAGATTAATTGAAATTTACTGCTGAGGGGAACAGCAGACAAGACAGGAGAGGTCTGCTGCACCATGGGGGTTAACTCCCTGGCCAGGAATAGACTCATGCTGCAGTGGCTGGTGTTAGCTTGGTAGAGCTGAGATTTTTTTTTTTTTTAAAGATTTATTTATTTATTCATACAGACCTGGGGTACAGGCCAGAGATGCGGAGGGTGAGAGGATTCACCAGAGACAGAGCGGGGAGCAGAACAGGCAGATCACGAAGTATACTGCTGAGGGGAGCAGCGGGCCGGTTAGAAGAGGTCTGCCACGCCATGTGGTCACCTCCGGGGCAGGTGGGGATCAAACTCATGCGGAAGTGGCTTAAGCTTCTTTGTGCAGTGCTTTAACCCGCTGCACCACCAGGGAGGGCCCGATAGAGCTGAGATTTTAACCCTTACACCAGCACCACCAGAGAAACCCCTCTTTTTGATGAAGTTGTTTGCCTTGTTTTTGCTGAGTTGTGTAAGCTCTTTGTAGATCTTTGATTTCAATCCTCTATCAGTTGTATGATGTACAAATATTTTTTTTTTCCCATTTAGTAGAATGTCTCTTCATTTTGGTTACTGTTTCTTTTGATGCATGGAACTTTAATTTGATGAAGTCCCAACTATTTATCTTCCTATTTCTTCTTATTGCTTCTCTACAAATTGTCAAAGATGGATCTAGAATCAGAGGACCATTTGCTAAAATGCTTCTGTGTGGTTATATTTGTTGTAAAATGCTACTCATCATTTTTCTTCCCAATTGAATAGTGATAACACCCAAAATGATGCCAATACCAAGGAATTCTGGGTAAACATGCCAAATTTGATGACGCACCTAAAGAAAGTGTCTGAGCAAAAACCCCAGGCTACATATTATAATGTGGACATGCTCAAATATCAGGTAAACTAATTTATATGGCCAAGATGTCTCTTTCATGTTACAAATGTATATCCTAAAGTACCTAACACTAGCTAAAAGTAAGTTTAAAAATATTTTTATTCTATTATGTAAGATATATTACTTATAAGGAAACAGAAACCTTAAATGTCTGCATGGAAACTACTTACTGACATAAATATTTGTATATATCCTCATCTGTTTAAACTTTTAACTAAAATATTTTATTATAAAGTCAGAGCAACATGCCATAAAAATAAATTTGCAGCTTACTATATCAATTAAGATTATCAGTATTAATAAACTAGATCACTGTAGTGACATTACTGTACATCTGAAAGTATAAACCTATATCTCTGAGACTTTTATAATGTTTTATAATGTTGCAAACCAACATTACTTCAAAATTAAAGAAAACATTACTGTCTTTTAAATGATTAAATAAAAATAAGGTGGGCTTTTTTTCTGTAATATGATAGTTCTATGAAATATTTTCTAGTAAGATTAATGTTAAGAAATAATTCAGTGCTAAAAGAATGTTTGGTAAGATGCAGTATAATATTTGAGAACTTGTTTTTTTTAATATAGGATTGTTTATACCAAATTATTTCCAGCCAGCATGCTTTAATACCTAATTGAGTCCCAGACACTAGCTCTCCAGCCACTAGATCATTTACAGTATTTTATTAAATATAGTCATTATTTTTCTAAGATGGTAAAATATTTTTGTTATATACATTTTTTTTACATGACTACTTTGCAATTACTAAGGAACTTCTAAACAAATGTTGATTCTGAGCTGGTGCCAAATAATAGATACATAGATGGATATGTATGTTATGTATAAATATAGAGATATAGACATTAACCATGTACATTAAAACCAAATCTATTCAGAGAAAGAGATACATATCTGTAGGGCCCTGATACTTGTCTCCTAAAGATTTCGACTTAATTCATTCAATATGAGACCCACTTTTCTGTATTTTTTAATCATTCCTCCAGGTGATGCTAATATACCCGGTAGGCTGGAATGAAAGTTAAATTATCATTTTAATTTCCATATTTGTTATTAAGTGAACTTAGAAAGTAGACAAAAATTGCCTCTTTCAGTGTGAGTTTAGTATAAAATATTAAGGTACAAGCAGAAGACAATTCTGCAGCTAATTCCACATCCTACTAGCTAAGTTCACAGATACTGAGCACTGAGCCTATGAACTTCAGTTTCTTCACCTGCTTATAAGGGTAGTAATGATTCCCACTTAGATATTTTATCTAGATATTAATATCTAAATGTTGTAAATTGTTGTGAGGAACAACAACCTAATATATTTTAGAATAGTTTATGAATGTTAATAGTCTGGGCCTGTCATTTTGTTTTAACATGCAAGGAACTGGATAGGAGGCACAACTAGTATTTGGTGGGATTATCCTTAATTGAAACATGTTAAGTTTCTGGCCATCAGTAACATCCCCCAATATGTCGATTTGAAACAGTCAAAAATACAGCCTCACATATCCAAAAACATCTCTCTGGGTAGAACAACTACCATGGAGTTAAGACCTATTGAGGAGGATAAAGACTAGAAATGGGCAAAGGCTGAAAGTGATCAGCTTTGAGCCTTCTCACAATAGAATTCTAAATAAAAAGATTGTGCTGATAAAGATCATTAAAGTTAAAACTATTATAATGGTTATCTGATAAAACTGTTGTCAAAAGCTGTTTCTGTTAGCTGAAAAAAAGAACCCATGTATGGGCTTGTTTCTGTAGCAACCTCTCCTAACTTCTCTGCTCAACCTGCCTTTACAACCTTTCCTTGTGGTGCCCAGATAGGCCAGCATTTCTACACCAATGAAGAGTTGTTTATATTCTTCAAGATCAACAAAATCCATAAATAAAATTCTAAGGTCATAAACACATGATCTCTGAAGTGTCCCATGTAAAAAGAGAATTTCTTAGAGCTATTCATCATCATAGTGAACAATTCAGGAAATGATAAGATTGATCATTTTTCAATGAATTCTGTGAATCAGAATTCAAATCATTATTGTCTTCTTTCATCAGTCAAAAGTATTGATTGAAACTTCAGTATTTTAAAGTGGTACATTAGATGACATGAAGTTAAAAACTAACAAAAATATACATTATTTGAATTGACCTCAAGAATTTTCTATAGTCAAGGAAATCATCCCTTGCCCCTCTTGGTTCTTCTAGGCCAACAATAGGCAAGAGAAAAAAATGCTCAAAAAGAAGTTTAATGTAAATGACATGTATACCTCCTAGATACATGAGAAAGGCCCAATAAAAGTAAATAATTCTAATATTATTGTTATTAGATAAGATACATTTTTGTTAATTCCTCAGCCTGAGTTGTCCTTGGTCAATCTCAATTCCTATTAGAATTGAAAACAGACAGTGGAGTTCAGTAGTCAGAGAACGTGGATTCAAGTTCTTACATTGGAAAATCCCATGCAATAATGACATGCTTTGTCCAACTCACTGATGTGTTACTAACAGCAAATATTATAACATTAACAGGTAATATGTATTAAAATATTAATTACATATTATGTGCTAGGGTACTATGCATTAAAATTTCACATAAAATCTCTTTCAATCTTCCCCAACAAATCTAAATATTATTGTTATATTTTTAGTAGCAGTTTAAGTAATAAATGTTATTGTTATAATTCCCATTTGGCAGATGAAAAAATAGTTGAGGTTTAGAGGGTTTTAGTGTCTGGTCTAAGATCATTCAACTTTTAGATGACAGAATCAGGACTCATTCCATTACTGTTTAACTCCTTGACCTCAACTCCTAGCTACTGTGTGACCCCCTCCTGAACTAACATAATGTGCATAATGTGAACTTGATGTAATATATCAATGTTGATGTTGATGTTGGTATTGATTTATAATGATGCATAAGGAAACTTACATAAGGCTATCATACAATGTTACATCATTTAAAATTTTTCATTAATAATAAAGATGAGGGTTCATAGTTGTCAGAGTACTTTCAAATACATTATCTCATTTAAGTTTACATCTTTATAAGCCAGAGGGAGAAAGATAAATATTGGATGGTTTCACTTGTTGGTTGACTCTAAAGAAACCAAACAAAGCATCATACAAAGATAGATTTTAAAACCAAACCTTGAACAGTGATCATAGATTGGAGGCTTCTGGGAGTGGAGTGAGAGGAAGAGGAAGAGGGGAGAAAATGAGGGTAAGGGTAAAGGTGAGAATATGGGGAAGAGAAAGCACAATGGACTATGGGTACTTTTGTGGTGGTAAAACTATTCTGACAGCACCAGAGGGGAGAGATCTTTTATTGTGAAAATATTAACAAGGATGTTAAAAATCGTACTTCATTTAAAAACAATACTGATGATAAAATTAAAAGTAACTAAATAAATCTGTGTCTTTATAATTGTTATAAGTCAACAAGTATGAAATGAGACCTCCCGTCATATTTGTTAAAAGATAATTTTCAAAATAACTTTTGGGAAAAAATATATATAAACGTGAACAATTGTGAACCATTTAATGTAATTTACTTATTTATATTTAAGGAGAGAGATGCTATTATTTATTTATTTAGATTTTATTTTTTTATGCATACAGAACTGGGGTATAGACCAGAGGTACAGGGGCGATCAGAGAATTCACCAATGAAAGAGTGGGGAGCAGAACATGCAGATTGACAAAGTACACTGCTGAGTGAAGCAGCGGGCGAGACAGGAGAGGTCTGCTGCGTCATGTGGATCACCTCCACGGCAGGAAATCGAACTCACACTGAAGCTGTCTCGGCCAGCTTCACAGTGCTGTGCTCCAACCCACTGCGCGCCACCAGGAAGGGCCCTGTTGTAATTTATTTAATGAAGGGGCTCAGCAGACATTATGTTTGGATTCAAAAGTAGACATATTTATAGGTCAGAACTGTTCAAATAAATATGTACATGAAGTTGGGTTTTCACAGATGAGAGAAAAAAGTCAATTCTCTGGTAGCTAAGCCAGATTTTTCATGTTCATCATCTACATATTATAGTTAGTTGTTAAGTAACTCAAAGATAACATAGGGCTAGAATCAAATATCTTTAAAAGTGCATTGTAAACTGTAATATGCCTCAGAGTTTTTTAGTACTTGATTTGATTTAATCTGCACCAGCTGACTTGAAACACCCTGCCCTCTCTTACGTGGCGCTGTTGAAGGTGATTTTCTCTGCGAGCTCATTTGTAAACAGCATAACTTGATGACACCTCAGTATCTCAGAACACGCCCCTAACAGACAATCAGAGCTTCTGTTAATTGTCTCAGATGAAAGGTAGAACTTTAACCTTCCTCTTTCCTGCCCACTGGACAGGTGTCTGCCCAGGGCATCCAATCCACACCGCTGAACCTGGCAGTGAACTGGCGGTGTGAGCCTGCCAGCACTGACCTGCGCATAGATTACAAATACAACACCGACGCCATGACAACTGCCGTGGCCCTCAACAACGTGCAGTTCCTCGTCCCCATTGATGGAGGTGTGACCAAGCTCCAGGCTGTGCTCCCACCAGCTGTCTGGTAAGGAGCCACTAGTTACCCTCCTCCCCAAAGAGTTCCTCTGGGCAGAAGGATCAGAGACTTAGCACGGAAGAGATGGGTCACAGGAGTCCCAGGTGCCAGGACTCAGGGCCGGGGGCAGAAACCACTGTAGAAGAAAATTATTAGCAAAGGGATTATGATGCCCACACAAAGGTGGAAGTGCCAGTGAAACATGAACTAAGCTAGATCTCCAAGAAATTTTTCCAAAGAGCTTCACTACTGGCCAGATGGGAGAGCAGCTACCTCTGCCACCGCCATGCAGGAGGAAAGGAGGAGGCTGCAGAGGGAACCCTTGAGTCAGGAACCACCACTGTCACACTGCTGACACTGCCTCAGTTTCTTCTCAACATCCACAAACCTGGAGATTGAACTGGGGGTCTAACTGTACTTAGAAGACCCCACATGGTGCCTCGTTGATGGTGATTTTTACTGAGGATCACTTGTAAGCAGCACAGCTTGAGGACACTTCAGAGGTGCTGGCCTGCACAGAACAGCCAGGAAAGCAACAGGACAATGATCTGTACCTTCCTCTATCCGCCAAATCTCATGCAGTGCATGTAACTGGTGGAGCTGAATTTGTATTCAGCACCTTCACTACGGGGAAAGTGAGATGTAGATGTAAAAATGTAGAGGTTCTGTTTTTTTTTTTTTGTAGCCTCTTGTCTATAAAGTACACCAGAGAGGGCAGGAAAATAGACAGTGAGCAGACACTGAGTGCCACTGCAACTGTTTAAGTTATTCTCCAAGGAAACATTCCAGTTTTTCATAGGATCAGAAGTGAAAAATAGACCTTTTTGAACAGGAATGCTATTCCTTTTGACAGCTCCAATTTACATTACTTGAATTAATTGATTAACTTACACTGTATTTTTTTTTCAGAACTAAAAACATTTGACTCTGTGTTGTCCACTAAATGTTAATTTATCTGACTTTGTTGTCTTATTATGATAAGGAATGGGAAAGGAGAGACCAGATAGAAAGATAGATGGTAGATAGATAGATAATGCTTAAATTGTTGCTAACATGTTTAAAAGCCATCTTTTTATTTGTTTATTTTTATTTACTTATGCATAGAAAACTGTAGTATAGGCCAAAGGGGTGGGGATGGTGGTGGGAGGATTTGCCAGAATCAGAGTGGGGAGCAGAATAAGTAGATCTATTGAATATACTGCTAGGGGAATCCGTCTTTTTATATTAACCCCATCTGGAAAAAATATGACACTCATGAAGCAAAAAGCCTTGAATATGGTAAGGATTTTTACCTATCTTATTTTCAGGAATGCTGAACAACAAAGAATATTGTGGAAGATTCCTGATATTTCTCAGAAGTCAGAAAATGGAGGTAATATAACAGATTTAGTTTATCGTTTAACATGTAATACTGCAATAAGTTTTAGATAGTATTAACTATTAATCAAAACACCCTTGGCACTAAAAACATGCATAGAATTTCACTTCATGTTTGTATTGCTTTATGTCAACTCATAAAAGCAAATAATTCTCCAGTGAATTCTTTTTCATCTTTGTTACCTAAGATGCCATAACAGGCCATCTTTAGGCTGAACAGGGCTACTACTGAAATCTGTTTCCATCCTGTAACAGATACCACACTTCATCCAGAGCTGCTGTTAATCATGCAATAGAAAATGCATTGCCTTTTAAGTAGCATGCCCCCAAATTTTGAAGGACCATTTAGTCTAATTTCACTTTTATTGGCATGCTAAAGAGTCACTCATAATATTTAATGACGAATTTTAGTCATTTTTGTCTGCAAAACATAATTTCTAGTAAGTTAGCTTATTTATGTTAACTTTTTTTAAAGATTCATTTTTTTTTATTTTTTTAAAAGATATACTTATTAATATAGACAGATCTGGGATACAAACCAGAGGAGCAGGGCAGTGAGAGGATTCACCAGAGACAGAGTGAGGAACAAAACAGGCAGATTGACTGAATACACTGCTGAGGGGAGCAGTGGGCAGGTCAAGAGAAGCCTGCCATCCCATGTGGATCACCTCTGGGGCTGGGGATTGAACTCTCACTGAAGCGGCTGCAGCTAGCTTGCATTGCAGCACTTTAACCCGTTGTGCCACTGGGGAGAGCCCAAATTTATTTTTTTTATGCATACAAGAGCCAGGCCAGAGGTGCAGGGGTGGGGTGGTGTGGGGGGGGCATGAGATGATTCACCAGATGCAGAATGGGGAGCAGAACAGGAAGATTCACTGAAATACACTGCTGAGGGGAGCAGCAGACAAGACAGGAGAGGTCTGCTGTGCCATGTGTGTCAGCTCCCTGGTTGGGGAT